TGTGTGTGTGTGTGTGTGTGTGTGTGTGTGTGTGTGTGTGTGTGTGTGTGTGTGTGTGTGGCTGTCTGTCTGTGTGTGCTGATGCATAAACTGGTGGCAGGTGGCTTCAGCGTGGCATTCGACCCTCTGGATGGCAGCAGCATCGTGGACACCAACTTCACAGTGGGAACCATCTTTGGAGTGTGGCCAGGAGACAAGCTGACAGGAGTGACGGGAGCTGACCAGGCAGCTGCAGCAATGGGCATCTATGGTCCCCGCACCACATATGTTCTTACACTCAAGGACTTCCCAGGGACGCACGAGTTCCTTCTTCAAGATGATGGTAAGCTTCGGCAAATGGAGAGCAAAAAAGATAATGCAGCCATGTGACGGCATCCTTAGGACCTGATGATCGCGTTCCGCATCATTTTTTTGCAGGTACAAAGCAGTAAAGGAACTTGGTTAGCTTTGCTGCCTAGATTCTTGCTTCTGAGGGCATACTCACACTAGGACTTTTTCACTTATTTCTGGACGGAATTGCGGCCAGATGCATACAGGTGTGGCCGAAATTGGGTTCTGATGCATTTTGGAAAGTGCTAGTGTGAGTATGCCGTCAGGCAAGTATTTTGAAATCTATCTCCAGCAGGGCCAAGGCGCACACTAGTGCCACATCTGGACCGTCATTTCGAAAAGAATAAAACAAATAAAACAAAACAAAAGGAAACAAAGCAAAGCAAATCAAACAAACAGGAAGAAAAGAAAAAAAACAAGAGATGAAAAGCTGTTCGTTTAATTGCCCATGTGCACTCACAAACATACCCCAAACTTCGCGCATAGCCTAGAAAGAGCACACAAATAGCAAAAAACACATAGCACACACATTGCACACACATAGCACACACATAGCGGAGTTGTAGCACCAGCGGGCGAGACAATCCATATGGTCCCTTTCGGGGACCGATCCCAATGGACATGCTTTTTTTCTCTCTGCTGCAGAGCTCCAGTGGACGAACTTGGTCCAAGTTGTGCCCAGATTCAGACCGACTTCTTCCGAAACGAAGTGAGACAAATTCTGAATTCCCTTCCAAGGAACGTGTTTGCTGAGTTCTGACTGAAGAAGCCGGTTGGCTTCCGAGACTTGGGGCGTCGTTAGACACTCCTCGGGGACCTGATTCCAAGGATTTCGTCTTCGTTCCACCTGTCCTCGGAGATGAAATCGGAAATGAAAATGTGAAAACACTCCGAGGACAAATCCTTGGGCTCCGAGGATTTCCCAGCCAAATCGTCCTCGGCCCCAAAGGACCTCGCGCTCCAAAGGACCTCGTGAGGTCCTTTGGGGCTCGAGGATCCGTGTTTTACGGAGAGGAGAGGGCATGCACGTAGAGAGACGTTACAACCGAGAATTCGGATCGTGGCAGCACGCTATTGGCTGAAAGCCTGAAGCACAACTTTTTTTCTTTTTTTTTCCCTTTTATTTTTCTGACATTGCTCCGAGGATGATGCTCCGAGGATAAGTGTAACGAAGACGACAAAAAACCTAAACTTTTCCGAGGATTCATGCTCGGAGCCTGAGGATGCCCCGAGTAGTGTCTAACGACGCCCTTGGACGAGCATGTGCTTTTAAAAAAGAACATAAAAAAAGGGGCAGGTATGTATTGGGTTTAGGGTTTAGGGTTAAGGGTTTAGGGTCTGTTGCTCTTTGAGATTCGGCAATGGGATCCACTCCGCTGCATACTAGAGTTGCATCGTTCTACATCATCCTCGTTGCTGATGTAGCAAATCTACCACCATAGCTTCTTAGCATTGTTTCTTTCAAAATTGAAAATCCAGACATGATTGCCGAAGACCAGGATACTAGGATGACAAGGGTGTCCCCAAAATTGAGGTCTTACGGTCGTTAGTGGCTCCTCTCCATTGGTGGGGAGCTGCACATGCAGGAAACTGGATTCAGGGTCCCATAAGCACGGCGATAGTCGTATATGATTCATAACATCAAAAGTGCTGGAAGCTGGGTCCTGTGTCCTCATAAGAAAGAGAGAGGCGGTTAACGGAGGCCCAAATTTTCAGAAATTTGTCATGCAATTATAAGAAAATCCAAAGCCCTTTTTAAGCGAACTTGTCACCCATACATAGAGTGAACACCATACTAACTAACAGCAAAACAGTTGACCCCCAAACCCTAATTTCAGTTTTGGGCTCGTTAGTCAGGGGCTGAAAATTGGGGGGGGGTTCCCTATTAACCAGTAGTCAAGAGAGGCCTTTGCATGGCAGAGTAAATATTTGATGAAATGGACCGGTTCAGCTCGTAGTGTTGCACAATGATGTTTGGAAAAAAAAAACAAAAAAAAAAGCGTTGTTTCTTTCGAGTCGAGCACACAGTGAAACAATCTCCGATGGCTCGATATGCAAACGTCCTATGCCCCGCACCAATGTCATGCGAACCGCGGACATGGACAGGCGTGTGCTGTGTTTTTTTGCGTGAACTGGTCTGCTTTCTCCTGTCGGCATTCGCTGCCTACGCCTGTCTATGTCCGCAGTTTGCTAATTTTGTTCTGATATTCCGTTTGCTCACATGCCTCCGACAAGCAGCACAGTTTACAGAAGGTTTTGCTCTAGTGCCCCCTTAAACAACCAGTATGCGGCCCCAACCTTGCTGAAAAGAGCCTCGTCTCCCATCCCAAAACGTCGGGGCTGGGCCGCCGTTGACGGCCTTTGTCGCGTTTCGGTCTCCAAAAGCATCCCGCGGGCGGTGTATGGCGTGTACTGGTGGTTTAAGTTTTTTTCTGGCAGGGAAGTTTTAGAATCTATATATAGATCGCAACAGCAAAGTCGTCAGCCGCCAGGGACAGACATTATCTGGACCTTAGGCCTGCTCCACCCATCAACTGTGGCAGGCCCACATGCCACTTCTGCAGTGTGTGATGCACCCACCATGCATGCCATGTGAATTGCAGCGCATATGGTGAATGCTTGCCATGGCCGTCGACCTTCATTGTCCGTGGACAGCATTTGTTAATCCGTGCAAGTGGAACCATGGCCCACAGCCCACGCCCCACACTCCCCCACTTGCCTGGACTCGCTATTCTGAATCTGTAGACTCAGAGGATCAATGCCCAGAAACACAGAATTTGCGCAAGTGATATCTACGTAGCCGGGGATTTCCTGCTCTCGTGTGCTTCTTTCCAATGTTCTATGAAGCCTGGTCAGTCAATCCCCTTGGCCCTGGTATCCAGGGTAATCACTGCTAAATGTGCCAAATGTTTCAAAGGTGCTAAATGTGCCAAATGTTTCAAAGGTGCTAAATGTGCCAAATGTTTCAAAGGTGCTAAATGTGCCA